TTCACAGTTACTGAACATATATATGAATGAGTTATATAGAGATATGAATAGATTGAAAATATGTGTATATGAAAAGCATACATGATAATGTAATTGTCAAATATATATATTAATAGAAAATTCAACAATCATATTAAATCCAAGAAATAAAAGGATATCGGGTTCATCGGGTTGGGTTGGGTTCAAATAATAATAACCCAATACCTACGGTTTGACAATTTTACAACTCGATTAGACGTCGGGTTGCTTCGGGTTGGGTTATTTTGCGTTGGGATAATCGGGTTGGTCGGGTTTTTGAGCACCCCTAAACCAGAGCATCAAATCGTTTCTATAAGGATTTATGTTTGTGGTAATATTCAAAAATAGATGTGCCATTTTGACTTAAAGAGTTAATTTTCTGATGAAGATTAAACGTAACAGACCCATCAACTTTATCATAAGTTTCCTTTAATTCATCCCACACTTTAGAGGACTCTTTAGAGAACACTTGTCCTAAAAAGAGATCTTCAGTCATAGAACTCATAATCCAAGAAAGAATAACTGAGTTACATTGATCCCATTGTCTTTCTAAGACAAGATCATTTTTTGGATGGGGACAAGATCCATCAATAAACCCAATTTTTTTTGGTTTCCAAGGCCAAGGTCATAGCACAAGTCCAAACCCTGTAATTACCAGTACCACTTAACTTGAAGGTTAACAAAGGAGCTCCACTGGTATCACTGGAATGTAAGTACAATGGATCTCCAAAGTCCAGTTTAGTAACTTTGGATTCCATTGAACTACCAGTATCAACAGTTGGAGAATGCATGAAAAACAAACAGAAAACTGAATAGATAAAAGCAGGATTCCTATAACACTTTAAATGTGTTAGGTTAAGCTAACTATTCAGTTGCCAAATAGAAACAACCAAGATTTAACAACGAACGATAATAAAGGGAAAAAAACTTATAGAGGAGCCTTAAGAAAGGAAGGAACAAGAACTTGTAAACTAGGTCCTCTTAACAGGCAAACTTTTAAACTAGGTTAAAAGATAATAGACCAGTAAAAAACATGCAGATCCAGGACCAAACCTAAACATATAAGAAAAGAAAATTAAATGAAAAAAACACAGATCTGGAAAAGGCAACAATGAACCAAAAAACACAAGATCTGAGAAGGAAGATCACTGAAGATGAACAAAGCCAGACTCTAGGGGGAAGGCAAAAAACCGAGGTTACAAGATCTTGTGTAGCCAACACAGACCACAATCTGTTGTTCTAAATCTTCTCACAACAAAGCCAGATCTAAAATAGAACATAAACACTACCTTTGAAAAGAACAAGTATAACAACAATGAGGACGGTGAATCATGATCTTAACAATCTCGTGAACTGACTCAACTCAGTTGTGCACTTGTTGAACAAGAAGAAACAAAGAGAAATAAAAGAAACAAAAACAGATATAGGGATAACAGGAAAAACACAACAAAGAGTTTGCAAAAGCAAACCACCACAGATATTTGTATGAAACAAAAGATCAAAGAACAAAGAATTGAACGAGATTCTTCAAAATAGAACCGTTCAAGGGTCTGATACCATGAACAAATTGATAACCAAAAGTATTTTAACTGTTATTTAACAAATATAGCTTACAAAAGATAAACCCTAGATTACATTCATGAACTAGCTAGCTAAACTGAGAAGAAGACGAGAGAAAACTTGAGAGATTACTAAGGTGGTGTTTTTTTTTTAAAAAGCTCTTATTTTACCACTTATGTCTGATTCAGTCAGACATAAGGCAATTCAGACCGTTTGTTTTTTTTCCAGAGCCACTTATCCCTTATTTTCCTCTTAAAAATTAAGTGATAATCTAGCCACTTATTATCCTCTTAATTCTGAAGATGATCTAGAGAACCAATTTCTACTTCATCAATCGATCGACTTCACCCTCAATCGCCTCTGGTGGCTTCAAATCGACCCAAATCAGATCCAAATCAATAGGGTTTTCTTCCCTGTGGGTTTTCGCCACTTTGTGTTTTCGGTCATGTGCAAACCAGTAGTTGTGCACCTTTATCCTCGTGAATCAAGGTATTTTCGTCCCTGTAGTTTTCATCATGATGGATATTTGCTTCGATTTTAGAGGTGGATTTGGGCATTGGATTTTAGAGAAGGAGTGGTGGTGGGCGGTGGTGGGATGAGGTGGAGATTGAGGATGGAAGGCTTGATCTGGAGGAGAAGGAAGAATTAAAGGAATCTTGGGAACATAAGCAAAAGTGAAATAAAAAATTATGCATATTTATATGTTTTGTTGGTTACAAAAGCAAACTATTAATTCAGATTTCAGACTTCAGACGTTTGTCAGTTTACAAAAAATAAACAGTCTGAGTGATTCAGATTTCAGACTTCAACACCACCTCTTAAAAATCAGAAGTGAAATCAGACTTCAGACTTCAACACCTCTTAAAAATACAAACGCCACCTAAATTGAAACTGGAATAATGAGAATTCTTGAGAAAAGAATTCTATTTATATTTACAAGAAATTTACAAAAAAGACCTTGAAGAAATAGAACATTTGCTCCGATATCCTTCATGAACTCCAGAATGGGAGGCGTAGTCTCTAAGCCCCTTATCTTTCAAACTTTTTCAACACTGGTCCTTATTAAAAAAAACCTGACAAAAAAAGGAATAAAAGTTAAAATTGTTAAAAATACAATAGATTTCAACACAAAATGCAAAGTTGACACAAGCAATCTTTGATCTCAAAGGATTAGTCGTGACCAAGTAGAAGCAGCTTCTAGAAATCAACCACCATCCCAACGCATCAAAGCAGCTTCTAGAAATCAACCACCATCCCAAGGCATCAAAGCAGCTTCTAGAAATCAACCACCATCCCAAGNGCATCAAAGCAGCTTCTAGAAATCAACCACCATCCCAAGGCATCAAAGCAGCTTCTAGAAATCAACCACCATCCCAAGACATCAAAACAACTTCTAGAAATCAACCACCATTTCAAGGCATTATCGTAGTAGATTTTTTTTTTATTATTCTTTTTAGTTTTACGTCTTTTGTTATAAAATCATAAATTTAATTTAAATAAACATTTGAATATTAAGTTAAAAATCAATTTAAGAAACTAAAATAACAATTAAATAAATCAATTATCTTAGCAAATCCAACTTAAGTAATCTAAATGAAATAAGTGTAAATAACATTGATCTAATTCACAATGAAACATACCAACATCTAATTAAAAAAAAGTTATTGATTTAAATACGCAAATAACATTTACAAGATTAAATCAACCCGTTAACCAACAAAACATACGTCTAATATGATAAGTTAATACAATAACATGTCTAAAATAATAACATGCCATCGTCAAATGAATTAACAAATATTGCATATTGGGTGTTCTTTTAATGGTTTTCAGTATCTATGGGATTTCCCCTTTTTCCGCCAACTCTTTAGCCTTAAGAACGTTATGCCTTTCGTGTGAGTAGGAACTTACCCAACAAGGAATTTCGCATATATATGTTCTAAACGTAAAACCATAAATTCATAACAACATAATTCTAATTTGCATCAGGGTGTCAAAGTTCATTATGATAACAAATTACAAATAGTCCCACCTTGTCCTATGCTCTTTTTGTCCATGACATGCCAAACATTGGACTATTTTGTCCCGTCCAGTCCCATGTAGTCTGCATATCAAACGCACCTTAAAAGAATTGATATTGTACCTTATTTAATTGACGGAGTAGTCGTGTAAACAAGTTATATGCTTGATTTTCTCATAGCAGAAAAAATGATTTAAGTTTGGTGTCAAATTTGATAAAACATACATTTTGATAACGTGTAGAAGAACAACAAAACAGAGAGAAAGAAAAACTGTGTATTCTCATCAAAAATAAACCCTTTAAATAGGAATAATTACAAAAAAATAATGATAAGCATGCAAGGAGATTTACTCCTTAAATAACTCTAAACATTTATGTCAGTCTTCATCATCACATCCTTTCAACAACGACACACTTATCTTACAACAACTTTGACTAGTTCAGAATACGCTTGTTTTCTTTTAACACCTATAGTATAAGGGCTGAAATGAGCTTTAGACAAAGTTGAAGGGCTGAAATGAGCTTTAGACAAAGTTGAAGGGCCTCAATTTGATATAAAAGATCGTGTGAGAAGAATTGTCAAGATGAGAAGTGGAAGAATTGTTCCTACTGAATCCCAACCATCAAAATCCAAGTCCAGATCTTTACCATCAAAATCCAGTGAGAAAAAATGAGGGGAATCTTTGCGGTTCGTCGTATGGTACGTAATGGAGTTTACTGCGGTTCGCTGTGCTCTTCCATTACTGAAATTGCTTCAGCTTCTTCTTATCCAGCAACAACCCCATATTCGTACTCGTGTTCCTTTTCTTCTGTGACGAAACCATTGTGGCCGGCATCCATCTCTAAGTTTCAATCTGGACAGCAGCCTTCCAATCGAAATCACTCTTCATCCCCTTCATCAGGTACGATCCCTGATCTTTATGCTTTGTATGTTAATAGCAGACGATTTTGTAAATTGGATGTTTAAGGGATAAATTAATCGGGATTAGGGTTCATGCTTTTAACCCTTTTTGTGTTTTCTAAGGCCATAATATAATAGAGCTGTGGGCTCTCTTAAATGGTGCATTTAGTCGAACTTAAAACAAGATACACCTTGAAGTAGAAGAAGAATGGAATTCTTACTTTAAACTTGCAAGAGTCAGTTACCAATATCCTTATGTTAGCCACTTCCCCTGTTTAACTAGAACCTAAGTTTGAAGGGATGAACATATTATTGAAGAGAAATGCAATGGAGAAGTTTACATGAATGACCACGTACAAACTTACTTGAATTTCACTGAACCATGCCTACACTTTTCTCAATGTTAACTACAGGATAAGATGGGATGCTACTAGAAGTCACATGTTTTCTGATGATAAGGCCTAAGGGTGCATATATTATAGTTTCTATGAGCTTTTGAAGCATAAGGGTTGGAGAAAAGTAGAAAACGTTGGGGTTCCACATTTAGAATTTTCTTTTTAACCGTTACGCTTTAACTCGTAACACTTTTCTACTCTTCAAGACTTTATTGCCTCTTCTATTCACGATGTTAATGTTGTAGTGCAATTATGTAAAACCATTGGCCGAAACAAGCCTGATAGCTTCCCATCTCAGAACGTTTAATTCATGACTTCTCCCTTTCTTTTACATAGCTTAAAATGATGAAAAGAAACTAAGGCGGTGTTTGGTTTGCTACAATCTGATGGAATATGAAGGAATTGGAATGGGTTAATTCCATTGACCAAATTCCATTCATGCTTTTGGTTCATTCTATGAGTTTTAGTATGGAATTCCAATTCTATATCATGGAATTTAAATTCCTTGGGTTTTAGTAAGGAGTTTCAATTCCATTTTATCAAATCTTTTGAGAAAGGTTATTACGCCCTTATATTTACTCTAATCCATTCCATCCCACTATGACGGTCATCACCACCATCACACCACCGACACCACTGTCTCTGCTACCATTGCCACTGCCACCAATTAATATTATTATTAATTTTTATCATTATATAGTATTTGTTGATTAAGAAATAAAGTATGAAAATATCGTGAATGGTTTTTTTTGGTAATTTATCACTAATTTATTATAATTCTAAGGTTATATTTAGCAAACCTAACAAACAGATTCCAATTCTTTTTACAGATTACTTTCGAATTCTTGCATATGGTCAAACCTGATTAAATTCCATTCCAATTCCTTTGAAGTGTAGTTTCATTCCATGAGATTGAGACAAGCTGTATTTTGAGGTTTCTTCCACCTTTGTGTTTTTTATATGGTGTGCATCATGACACCAAATCAACAAACTGGAACAAAACGAATGCTTTGCTTATTATTGCCAACATTCGAGAGGTTGACTCTCCCAATTACTCCATACAGGTTATTCTCAAAATATTCCACCTTCCCTGCAAACACCCTCTCTTCTTATTTCTAGCCCCTCCCTTAGGACCCTTACCGACCTACTTACCCCTAACCTCTTTACAAGGTTTTTGGTCAAAAATAGCTGCCGCTAACTAACTATTACAATAGTCGACAATCATGACTGCCACTAACTACTACAAATCGGTTTTACTAAAATGCCCCTTGGGCCTTGACCATAGGTAAATAATAATGTTGATCAACTTTTTCAAATAAAGGTACAAGTTAAATCTTGTTATTCTTTGATGATTGTCTTGTTCTTAGTCCAGAAAAATTGATTGCAGAAGATTTCATGGAGCTGTTAATTTTATATAAATTGCCAGAAAACAATTCATGCTTAAGGTCTCTTGTAATGTTAATAGTTTGTATCTGATGATTAAGCCGCTATGGCTTGATATTCAATGTAGTCTCCTGTTTGTAATAAAAGTTCTGATGGACGTCATTTGACAATGTTTTACTTCTTGTGCTTACTTTGTTGGAGGCCCATCTAAATTTACTTTGCCGTCAATTCAGTGGATGATTTTACTAGTTATTCATGAGTAAACAACAGTCTGCATGGTAGTAACAGAATATGAATACTCCGACTACATACATTTCCATATTTTGGTGGTTAACCAGACCCATACCTATACCTATGCTGCAAAACAGGACAAACGGGCCTCTCTGGTTAATATTTTATTTCAGAAATCCCACATAAAGAAATCTTGGAGTTATGACTTCATAATTGTTGAGAGCTGTTCCTTAAATCCTTTCTGCAACAAGGAAAAAGTTCCCGAGTTTTGTAGTAGTAATCAGTTTTGGACTTTTGGGTGCTTATCAATCCAGAAAACATGAGAAAGGTACTTGGATTACTTATTTCTGTGAAAATGATCCTATATTCATGAATCATGACAGACTTGCAATTTATGTGCTTTACGACACATGTACTTGATGTCTGACTTCATTTGCTTTTGGACCAATATTTGGGACGACGTAATCAGTGTATGTCTTTGTGAAGTTTATTAGTTGATGTATTTAACTTAATGTGCATTTATAAACCGATTTGTATGGTATCATATTTAGATGCCAATAAAAAATTGCAAGAATATTTGAAAGTTCTCTATTGGGAGGCAGAATTTTATGCCTCTTATCTATGTCAATTTGCTATTGTGTACTTGAGTCATGCCCTCAATCTAATGGAACAAACATTCGATGTAAGATTAAGAACCAATGTTATTCTTAAAATGGTGATTTGATATAATGCTTGGGAAATTATTTTTGACATTGTTGTTAGAGATAGGGAGAAAAGTGAGGAGCAATGCAATTGACCAAGATATCCCTCATTTAACAGAAAATCTGAAAGTCTGTTTATCTGGAGGGACGAAATTCATTGGAAATTGACAAATTTCAGGGACGAAAACCGGTTAAATGAAGTTTTAGGACGAGAAGCATCAAGTTCTTACTATGCCTGCAGCTCTGTTCCATGTGTTCCCTTGAAATATTGTTTTCACATTTCAAGATTAAATTATTATAGTGATCTTTGTTTAGTATACTGAAGAAGCATGAGTCAACAGAAGTCTCCTATGCAAAATGAGAACACACATTGCCCAATTACATCGAAATATCATCAAATCTTCATCGACACCCTTTCTGCTCATTGTTGAAAAAAGATTTTAAGCTCTTTAATATGCAAAGATCATTCTTGTAGAATGCTAAATACAACAATTTCGTGTTAAGGTTAAAAGTCAATAGCTGAAAGCCACATGGCTAACCTGTTTTTTATGATGTTACATGGGATGCTACCATTTATATACATTTGTATGTGATTGCCTGAATGATAAAATTAAAACAAAGAACAAGCTTTTTAATGTTTACTAAATGATTATAACAGGTCAATCTAGAGTGGTTACGGTCGAGTCAGAAGATCAATTTAATAGTTTACTTCGCAAGGTTCAAGGTAAGTACACATCCATCCATCTTTATTTTCCAACCCATAGTATTTGCTTATGTGTTACATGCCTGATGCACATATCCTCGTGTATGTTTACAATGTCATTCAGATGAATCCTTGCCCGCAGTCTTCTACTTCACTGCTGTCTGGTGTGGGCCATGTGAGAATTTTTATTTCCATATTTATCTAGTTTCTCTAATGTAGGATTGTTTGCTATATGTTTTGAATTCTTTAAAGTATTATCGAGTTACTTGTTTGTCTTCTACTAAATTTAACCTGCCTATCTCTCTTCTTTTGCAGGTAGGTTTATATCTCCGCTTATTGGGGAGTTGAGTGAGAAATACTCTAATGTCACCACCTATAAGATTGATATTGATCAAGTAAGTTTATTCCATGCTTCCAAGTATTTGTATCGCAGCATAAGGTAATTAGAGACTATAATGTTACGCTGTCCACTAAATATGGCCTTGTGATTAAATAATACAGCATCTTTTTTAAAAGATGTTACTTCTTCGGTTCCAAGCCAGAAATACATTACACATCAAGAGTTTTAAAACTATTGTTCTTACGGTGGTGATGTAACTGGCGCTATCATGTGTAGAACGTGTAAATAGATAAAAGGTTTATATAATAGTTCACTTCACATGTCTCCTTGGAGAATGTATAGTCTGCAGTTGCACTGAAAACTCTTTTAGGGAAGATGTTTCAGGTGTTTCCTTAAAAGAGGAAGATCTGTGATTTGTAACTTTGAGAATTAAAATGTCACTTCAATTTTGTGTCAAATTTTTAGTTTTGGTAGCATTTGGTATGCAGACCGGACTTAACTGGACAAGTTGTATGTCGGGTGTTTGGTACGACTAGGACAAAACTGTTAAAATGATCAGATTGCCCCCCAAATCCTATTTAATTATTTCATATATACTATGATATTTGTAATTGAGTAAATGACACAAATCAAGTAATACTTAAATAGTTTATTTTATATTCTTACACGATTTTCATATTATATATTTAAATTTAGGTCTATGTATTAGTACCAGAATTGAATGAGGAATTTGATATAGTTGATGCTAATTTGGAAGAACCCAGTTCGAAGAAGGAGAAAACTATGTTGTATTCACTTTGGATGGTCCTTATGAATTAGCGGAGCCGGCTGTGGGCCTGTGGTGGCTGGAGGAGGTGGTGGGTGGTGGGTGGTGGGCGATGGTGACCATTAAACCAAATATCATATTAGGTATAGAGAATGAGGGTAGATTAGTAATAATTTAGTTTGAACGAGTCAATGATAAAATCTTGGAACGACCTAGAAGTTGTTTAGAGATATCAACCAGCAAAAAGCTTTTATTCAGGAGATCTAACAATCATGCAGTTGTATAGCAAAAAGCTGATCGTTTTTTGTTGTTTTTACCTTTTGGGTGCGCTGATGGATTTTCCATGTTCATGCAATATTCTTTTGTTCTTTAGGGAACTCTTAATAGCTATTTTTTGGGTATCGAATGATTTAACCTTTTCATATCTTCTTGTCTTTTTAGTAACATTTTCTGGCTTTTAAATTCTTTTTAATATCCTTTTCAGTTCAAATTTGTTGGAAAAGAAGAGAAATTTTGCCTTATTTCCAAAAAGGGGAGAAAGTAGGGGTTGGGTATGGCGAAAGGGGATGGGGTAGTAGGGTGATACATGACTTTCGAATTGGGTTGTCTTAACAGTGAGAAAGAGGGACCAAATTGTTACGGAGTTTCCTATTTAGGAAAGAGAAGTGCAGAAATGGTCTCTCAAGGGATGATTATTGAAAATATTTAGGAACCACTTGTAACACTCCTTTTGGCCTTCATATTGGTGTTGCCAAACTTAAATTTATTCATATGAATTTTCTTTACATGTTCATTTATCTTCAATTGCAGGAAGGTCTCAGGGGAGCATTGGAGAAGTTAAATATTGCTGCTGTGGTAAGCTACTTATCTTCCTTAATTTTATGATCATGGTTTGCATTCCNCCAACAAAAAAAAAAGAAAAAAAAAACTCCAAAAACAAGAAACCAAAAATTGAGAAAAGAAGATATGAACAAAAGGGTTGTAAAGAATGCACATACATACACAATCAAAACTACCTGTAATGATTACACGTAAGTTATCCATCCTTACCAGGGTCTTATCGTTTTACCAGAGTCCTATGTAAGACTAGGGGTAGGGTAGTTTTTGAACCTTTGATATGATCTTTGTATGCACTTCTGTTTTTATGTTTGCGTAATATTTTTTTGTCTTATTTCTTTTCAAGATTCTCTTTTAAACTATTTTTCTTTTTCTTCAAACTTTGTGACAACCTTTCTGGAAATTGCATAACCTTTTTCTCACATACATTTTTTTTTGGAAGCCGGAGGTCTTCATAGAAACAACTGCCTTACTCATCAAAATAAAGGTCATGTTTGTGTTCATTCCACGCCCAATACTCTATCTCCAAGTGAGATATATTGGGTTAGTTTGGTTTTTATATATCCTCACATTCAGACACATGTGCAAGCATATGTTTGTATGTATATGGAGCCTCCAACGTACATATATCTTCAATTTGCCATAAAATGTTGAAAAAATCATGTGGGGTATTGTACATAGAAAAAAAAAATACTAGTCTTAGTTCTTTCCTTTCTGCTTACACCTTTTGCACAAGCCAGAGGTCTTCATGAAAACAACTGCTCTACCCTTTGGAATGGAGGACATGTATGTGTACATTCCCTACTTTCGAGTGGGATGTACTGGGTTTGTTTGGTTTGGTTCTAGCACGTGTTACTGTGACTATTGATGAATAATGAGTAGGCACAATATAGTAACAATGACTGCATGTTGAACGGTGAAGACCTATTTTCATGAGAAGGTGAGAGTCCGAGAGAGTGAAGGTACCTTCATATCGTGTGAAGGTTTGTTGTCAGACCTGTAAAGATAACCTTATATTGTTTGAGGGTCATGTGAGCGGAAATACACAGTTTCAGGTCATATGAAGGTTACAACCTTCACATAGAATAACAAATCTTTCACCAATATAAAGGTAACTTCACATTTTCTCACCACCTCAACGAAAATGAAAATTTCTCGCATGATCCTAACTCATTCATAATAACAACATCGTGGTAAGGATTGGTGTTTGTTTGTTTATTTGTTCAGCCAACTTTGCACTTCTTCCAAGGGGGAAAGAAGGTGTCGGAAATAGTTGGGGCTGATGTTCAACGGCTGAAAACCACCATGGAGGATCTCTACAAGTGATGCTACTTCATATACTCCCTGCAACTTGGATTTTGGTCTTATCATAAATTTAAGCAACACCCAAAGATTTTTAGTATTATATGCAGATTATTGTCTTTAGATTATGAATCAAAGAAGTATTATGTAGCAAGATTGTTTGTGATGAAAACCATGGCTCACTTTGTTCTCTCTGTTCACTTTAGAGTGTCTGTATATATTAAATTAGTTTATCGAATGAATTACATCGTAGGTCCTTATGGTTTGTTCAGAATCCGGATATGGTCCTCTTTCAAAACAAGTATACTAAGCGTCCTTTGTGGTTTGTATATTGTTACATGCTAGGTCTCTGTTCTTTACGGGGTTAGCTGCAGTCCGTTAACTCAAGGGCAATAATGTCTTTTTACCAATTTCCTATTTCATTTCAATGTTTTAAATGAATCCACTTGGTATTTAAACCACACAAGAAGCTACTAACAATAATTATGATTCCATTGATTAAGTTTAAATAATTTCATTAGAGGATTGGAAGATGGGAGAGGGAAGAAGACGATGGTTGGGGTCGGGGGAGAAGATGGGAGAGGAACGAAGATGGTGGGTGGGATTGCGCCAATAGGGTGGACACTTGTCATTGTTTAAATGGCGTTTTGATAAAGATTTATAATTAACAGATAAATTGACTAAATAGCTCCATGAATTAACAGATTGGAGTTAACTCCGTTAGAGACAGATACTGTAACACCACAAACTTTCATATTTGCATATAACATGTACTTTATATAAAAGAAATACAATTTACACCACAAAGGTCCCAGTAGTACAAGAAATTTATATACAAAAACAACTCAAAAATTCCATAAGAATGTTCTTGTACTATCACATGTATAACAACATGTATCTCCAAAATACATCAATCAACAAGTTGATCTTCAAAAAAGCAAATAAGCATATAAGGAAAATAATCAATTGCGCTGAATAGAATTTGACAATGGGTTTGAGTCAGTGATTTGGATATTTTCCTCTTCCCTTATTATCCCGAGACCCAACAAATCCTGCAATGCATATTTTAAAACACAAAATGAGGGTTAAACCAGGAGGTCTAGTGAAATAACGTTTTCTTTGCAATTACAGGGTGAAGACCACCAAAACCTGTTTAAAATTAACATTTGAATAATCAATCACTTCACATCAAATATAACTTCAGCAAAACAAAACTGCAAGTTATAAAAAGAACTTACCACATAAGAAGAATAACCACTCAGGTCCTCACAAACATCTGAAATACAACTCTCAAGCTCACAAGTCACAATTGATCAGAGCTTATGGTCTCAACCTCTACGATCATATAAAAGAGTAACAATAAATAACAACCACCAGAGTTTTTGGTTATTATCAAAAACTTTTACCATACAACCATATTTAAATTTAAATAAGAACTGATTAAATAATAACCAACGATCCTCCGAGTTTTATTTCAAATCACTACTTTTTGAAATACTCAAAATATGATATCTCAAAATCATTTGAAAGCACGACAATTAATACCTCCGGCTATAAGCCATCTTACGAATATGACAACAAGAGTTATAATAGTAACCACTCACACAAATGCCACCCTTATCCAAATGTACATCTCTACTTGATATGCCACCATTATCCCATGATATACCTCTCATTGATATGCTACATTTATTTCCACCTCAAATTTACAGATAAATATGTAGTTTTAGCCAATAATGGCTTCAAAAATAGTTTCATATCAGAAACTTAAATCTCAAGAACTCTCAAGTTCTTAAATCCACTTTTCAATTCTCAACTCAGTATTTCTTCCAAACAGACTTCATGTCACAACCGTTTTGAAAGAAAACAATAGTATCTTTCTCAACTTATAAACCACATTTGATAGATACAAAATACCCTTTCTCAACATAAAACAGTTTAAAACTTTTAAACAACATTTGTGAAAACCAATGTTTTTATTTCACAAGTTTTGGGCCATAACTGCCCCTCATCGGCCAACACTATGGCTGATGACCCCTTACTCATCGGACAACACATTTAATCCAGACAACACATAAAAAGGTGACCATGCTCACCGGTCACACTCTGTCCGGTAACAATCCTCACTAGTCATCACACTGTCAAGATATGTTCTCATCTGACAACAACTATGTCCGGTAATCAATCTCATCGGTCAACACTTTATCCGGTTAACTACCTCATCGGTCAATACTTTACAACATAAATAATAAAGCGGCTAAGGCTTTGTCCAATGAGCATCCTCACCAGACAAGGCATGCACGACAACACTCCAATTCGGTCAACACTTAGGAGTCTTAAATACTAAAACACTTGGGCGATAAAATGTAAGACCGGATACCCCTGTCCGATGAGGGTCTTCACCGGACAATACTTTATTCGATAAAGGCCTCATTGAACAATACATAAAATCAACAAACTCCTCACCGATCAAGCCATGGTCGGTAAGGAACTCTCATCGGACAGTACTTTGTCTGATTTCAGGTCCTTATCGGACCATGTAGCTTCATCAAGAAAAATACATATATTCAAACTAAACACCAATAGAATTTTTAAAACCATGAAACCAGTATGAACAAAAACAACCTGATTCAAAATTGTTTTAAACTCACCTCTTATGCAGGAATGAATTTTAAAGAAGATAATAACACTTGAATTTGCTTCTACTTTGATCCCAGTTCCTAAATTTGGCAAGCACAACACACAGATTTCTCACTTACTACATCAAACTTTCCAAAAATGGCAAAGAAGCTTGCCTCTTCAAAATGATCCCCTTTTATGTTTCCTTAACAGGAAGGTGTTTTAGAAAAGATAATATAAAACTCTTTTCTTCTCCACCCCATGCACATACACACATGCACATCAAATTTTATGCATATGTAATCGATGCAAAGCTTACATAAACTCACATTATCCTTTCATGCATACATATTTTCACATATATATGCATAGCCGAGGCTGGTGAAGCTGAAGCGGTTGCTGCTCCTGTAGTCACGTCCACCAAAGCTGCTCTAGCTGAGGTTGACGTAGCCATCCCTAGGGATGATGTCCATACTGTCACTGCTGCTGGTGATGATGATGATGTTGAAGATGGTGAAGATGATGATGATGAAGACGATGATGAACATGTCATTCCAGACACCGAAGATGATCTAGATGGTGACGACGACGATGATGATGAAGATGACTTTACCATCAAGTTCCAAAAGCCATCAACCGTTACCAAAGGTGTTGCTCTCGGGGAAGCCCAATCCTAGGGGGAGCAAAGACAAGGTGAATCGACTCCATCATGGCACCAGGACCCCAAGTCGAAAGGCAAGGCGGTCGCTGAAGAAGGTAACTTGAAGGTACTTTTCTCATGCCCTCAACAAACCTTATTTGAAGACTCTACCTCTCAGGTAGTGATAACTTCAGAGTACGAACTTCACATCCCTTCAACAACCTGCGGTCGACTGGAGTGGGTATCTGATCAACCCAGCTCTTATACTCCAACAGACCAGCAGATGTCTCAGCTTAAGGAGTCACTCGACCAGACTAGAGTAAAAATTCCTCTTCGTACCTCTAGTGGTGGTGAGTTTGACTTCCTTTCTGAAGCTGAAAGACTCGAGGCATTAAGGGTTGAAGAAGAACTAGAGCTTCAAAGGAAGCAGACTGAAGACAGCTTAAAGCTGGTCAAGTCTCTAGCTGCTAAAGTTCTTCCCAAGAAAAAGTCCAAGAAAACGGTGAGTGCTGTCCAAGCCCAAGCTAAACTTCTTTCTATGGCAGAAGTTGAACGCAAGAAGAAGCTGAAGCTTGTGGACAAGGATAAGCAATGGAGCGAAGCAAAGTTGAAAAAGAGACTAAGTCCCCGTC